GCCATGATAAATACATTTTTTCCCTCCTGGTGTTTTTTGTTGTTGTTTTTAATTGAAATCCACTAGTTTACAGTCATTACTAAATAATATTTCGACTTTTCCATTCTGTGAAAAATACAACAGAATGACCAAGCAATGACAAACGTCAAAGCAGGATAGGGAGGAGCTTCCCCCACTTCTAACCAGAACAAACCTTGGTTTGTGTTGGAAGGAGAAGCCGAACAGTGGGCTAAGGGTGAAAACAAATTGTTGAGACAAAAGATTAACCGAACATGTTGCACATGCAGACTACAAAGCAATATTAGGTGTAGGTTAACAAAACATTCAAGATAGAGGAGTTCATGACAGAGACGTTTAGCACATTTCAACACATTTTTCTTACAGCACATAGCGAAAGTATCAATGATAATTCTGAGGAAACTTCCAAGTCCATGATGTTCCACATCCTTGTACCTGGATGTCCAGAACCTCTAATTGAGTGACCAGCCATTCTCTTTAATTTTTTCACAGGATAGCCCAAAGGTTTAAAAATGAGAGACTGAATCCAGGAGGCAATCAAGGTATTACAAATATCCCTCTCCAACTTCTTCCACGGCTTAGTTCTATAAAAATTAAATTTTTAGACTTAACTTTATGCATGGTAGACAGTCATCATTCTAAGTTATTTCCAAAATTTGGACCAAGTGAGATGTAAAGATGTAAACCAAAGTAAGTATGTTTACTGAAGAATGAAATCTCAATTTAAGAATGGAAACCTTAATCTAAAAATAACTTTAAAAAAAAACCCCACAAAGTTATAAACACAGATTTATAAATATTTTTATCATTCTATTCCGTTGGAAACTGGCATTAAAAAACAAATTAATAAACAAAATGCCACTCAAAAAAAGACTCCAGACTTTAGATAATATTTCTGTAAGCACTGGGAAGAACTATATAGATAGTCTTTCACTAAATCAAGAATAGGACCCTTGGGCAATTATCTTTGTAAAACATAACATGGAGTAGACCAGCATATTTTATTTGAAAAGATTAGGTAACCAAAGGGAACCACAGAAGCTGGAAGAATGTGTCTTATAGCCTTTACTATAAAAAATACCCCACCAAGGAACAACCTCCAAACTCTTTCTTGCAAATTCTTTACAAAAACTATCCAAGATAATATTAATAGCCTTTGAATCTAAGGGTAAAAAAAACCAAACACACAAACAAGACACTTCAGCCTGAGTTACCAAAAGTAACACCTTATTTCATATATTTATCTTTTTACTTTCTTAGAAAGAGTTACAAATAAAAAACCCAAACTAATTAATACTCAAGCTGGTTTGGGTCTTCATTCATCTCCATGATGAAGAACTGCTTTCATCGTAAAACTTGGGTACTGATAAGCACAAAGAAGCATGGTAAGAAGTGCCCGAAAATGGTGGTAAAAATGGAACTGCCCAATAAGTACCATGTTAAATCAGTGACTCAGAGGAAATAACTACTTTATTTCAAGATAAGTCTAAACATTACTATTTAAATCAAAGAGGGATCAAGGGAGTCAGAATCTTTATCTATTCACAGTGTTACCACAATCAATGGGGCATAGGGCTTGTCTACATTCATTTAACAAGACAAAGCCTTTCTTCTCCTGAAATATTTCTTTAATGAGAATGACCATATGCAAGCCTTAATATTTGAAGGTGCTACAGTAGAACACGAGAAAAATATAGAACAGTATGAAATATCTCCTAAACATCTGAACCATACAAAAGCCTTCTTTTTAACTCCTATTATCTCACCACAGATTTTCTGAATGTGCAATCTTTGCACAACTGCTTGAAAACATCTTTTTCTGACATAGGTGAACCAGGGGAAAAAGTTCCCCATTTACAAAAGTCTGGATTCTACTGTTCACTGCCCTTGTTTGCTGATACACCAGATTGTTTCAGTGGGGTTTTCTCCCCCATTTTCTGCACAGCCAAACTACTCTGAACTAAACACACAAGAACAACATATTAATGACTTTCTGTAGCTGCAGTTCCACAATTGTACTAACTACTGCAGGCATTTAAGTAGAATTTCTCAGGATATTGTTGCTTGTTAGAATACCAAAATATAAAAAATGGCTCAGCTCCAAAGATTCTATTACAACAGACACTGGTAGTCCCTATATGTTAGTTTTTTGGGTAACACTACTACAGCCACTGTTTCTCTATACTCAGCAAAGCAAGTAGAGAAATGTAACACTTCTCCTAAGAAGAACAAGCTCCTTCAAAGAACAATTAGACTGAAATGGACAAGAAGTGGAAAGAAAATTACTAATAACAGGAGCCCTCAAAGGAGTAGATTAAGAAGCCTCTCTTCCCATTACCAAATGCAAGTCAGTAAACAGACCTTACAAATACCTCTAGAAAATAATCTCTAAGATAACTGCAGACTAGCTTCAGCAAGTTTGCATTTCCACCCCAGATAATTTTTATATAAATGGATATAAAACTAACGAACAAATATAACTGGGGTTAGGTAATTGACTGGGTTTTTAGGTGGAGTTTTGTCCTCCCTCTCTTACTTGGGGGCTGGGGAGCAGGGAAGAGGAGAACACCACACTTCCTGTACACCATTTTTAGGATTACAAATACCTCTAGAGAATTTAACCATCAAACATCCTTTGATTTCAAGAAATAAAAAAGAACAGACCAAAGAACAGACCCTATCATACCTTATACATACATGAAATAAAACAATAAACTGTAATTCTATTTAGGTGTGCCCATGTAGAGAAAACCACTAAGTTTTCAGCTACTAAACCATTCTTTGAAATATGAAACAAACTTATGCTGGTAGAAGCATGTTCCAAAATTAAATTGACTTAAAAATATATATTTCATTAATATATAAATATTAAAATTTGTAGCAAAACCTAAAGATTATGGAAGGGGACAATATTAAACCATTGTACATGCCACAATTTCACTACACAGTAGTTTACTAATAGCTAAAGAACATAGAAGAAAATAGCATATGAATTCCTAGCATTAAACATCAAACAGTGGCATCTCCTTTTTAAGACGATATTAAATTAGCAAGGAAACCACTTGCTGTTACTGTAGTCTGACCCAGAGAAATATCCCAGAAAGTAGAAAGTCTTCTCACACAGCGTATGTACTAACAAAAATCCTCAAAATATGAAAGGAGCTATGCATTCAGTGATACCCTAATGCAATTGAATATAGGCTTACTATATGGGGTTTTTTCCTACAAAGAAAAATTTCTCAAGATGGACTCTAATCCTCCAGTTTCTGCATAAATGAAATAACTTTAGTCTGCATAGTGGTGTTCATTTTTAGTTCATGTTAAAAGTTAAATACAAACAAGCAAAATATTTTTCTGGGAACTTCAGTTCATAATATTATATGTTAGTTATTAGAAAAAATATTTTTATACTGGTAATTTTAACCAATGCCATGAAATTTTTCAAAATTTACTATTTTCTTTGTACTGGATCAAATATTCTGAAATGAGATAAAATCGTGATCTAAGCAAGTATTCAAAAATTAATAAAGATAACTTTTGATCTGTGACCTTTTAATGTCACATTTGAAGTACAAGGTTTAAATGCGTGATAAGACAAGCTTATAATAGAAACACTGTCATATACTGGCAGAATTCCCAGCTGTATCAAGTGACAGAGATGTCACAAAGCTGCAGTATATTTCTGACTACCACCTTGGCAATCTGAATCCAACTAATATGACGCGCAAGAAATTGATATCCGCTTTCTATACAGTACAAAGCAGACAGAGAAAGATTAGGATTATAACTGTACTATATATATATATATAAGGTGTTATCTTAGCTACCATTTATAATTAACGCCTACTCTGTAGATGCTGGAGTGGACACTGGAGATTCTTTGGAGTGCCTCTCACATTCACACCACTGCAAACTGGTTCAGTTATTTTGATTGCATGGGTTTTCTTTAAACCATGAAGAAATTAAACAAATGAAGCCCCCCCAAAAGAGTTGCTCATTTCTGCAAGCCTAAGTGGAGAAAAATAAACTGATTATAAACTTGTTTTTTTAATGTAATATGAGTTTCAAATAGTAAGCCATAACATCCTAATACACTATTGACAATACTGACTAGTTTGAGACATTTCACTTTGCCCTCTACTCAAGCTACTATTTACTATACTGGGGATTTTTATTTTGTTCATTTATTTAACTTGCTAGGTTTGCATGCTCAGCATAGGTTTACACTAGAACAAATCAATTAAAGTAAACTTTCTGACATCACATATGCAAGAAGTATCTATCCAATGCTTGATTGTGAGACTGAAGATGGTACTGCTTTAACTGTTAGAAGATGTAGGTAGAAGGGCAGTATCACAAAGCATGTCTGATGACTGAAATTCTTCTCTGAAGATACATATTGGGCAGAAAGACATTCTCCCAAACTACAAGGAACAGAAGCCTAAAACCGGTGTTTCAACATCAAAAAAGATAAATCCATGTCATGTAGGTTTTCTGAAGGGCAAAGAAAATGAACAGACTTGTGGAGAACTCGGAATAGAGAAAAGACAGTACAAAATATGCTAAACAGTCAAAGAAGTACAAAGGGCTGTTGGAAGTAATTTTAAAATGGATCTGGCTTAACATGTTACCACAAACAATGTTTTAACTCTTGAAACACCTTAAGCTGTTATTATTAATTAATAAATGAATTAATTTATTAATAATCACAAACACCTTTCAATAGTCAATACAGCAGCGTAAAAATTATCCTTTAATTAAATGCTTTCCACTTACATTGCTATATTTGGAGAAAAAGAACACAACTTGCTACAAGTTATTCACACAATCCTACAACTTGCATTAAGAAAAACCCCAACCACAATTAGATGATTTTAAGTTCTCCAATTAGGCAAAAAAAACAGAAATACTGTTTTGACATGAAACAAAAACCAAACATAAATGACAGCTGTATAGATTTTTCCACCCATGTTTGTACTTGCCTAGCAATAATTTAGCATCTTCAACGTCAAAATCTCCATCTCCATCAGCATCATATATCCCAAGCTTGCCTAGAAATTCAAAAAGAAGAGAGAATTAGGGATTCAGCAGTTTGTTCCCAGCACAGTGTTTTTCGATGTGCAATGGTTGGCTGTCGATGCTAGGTTGTTGCCATATATTTTTAAAATTATTTAGCCATACTTTCTTAACGCATTTGTAATATTTTCCAGGAAATTTAAAACATGGTTAAGTTCCTTTCTACAATTTCTTGACTTTAGACTGAACACAAGTTAGTTTTTTTCCACACATTAGTTTGGTACTCACAGGTTTAAAACAAATTCATAATCAAGTGTTGCACTTTATGTGAACATGCTTTGCTCAGAATAAAATCTCAGTTCACAAGGAACAGTCAACATGTTTGAGGGACAAGAAATAACAAGAATTAATCAAATAATCACCATTTGTTTTCAGATTGGTTTCCTGTGGTTTTAAATTCTTGGGAGGAAAAAATAAATAGATACATGATTTTTCATGCCAAGTTAATAGAACGTAAGCAACGTACTTCCTGGACGAAGAAAAAACATTTATAAGTTTTAATTAACAACTATATGATGTTCACTGCAGACAAGAAGTTGTCAATCCTCTTAAAGGCAACTAATATACATCAGACTTATCACTTTCTTTTTTCTCAAATTGCACCTCTACCAGCCCTAAGCATACACAGGAGAACCCAGTTCCTATTCAAAAAGAATTTTTAGCATAGAATCGTGGTATCCAGGATTAGAAGTGTCCTGGGATCACCACGTGAGTAGTGAGCTTTCTAATTAGTTCTGACAAACTTCAGATATAACTTTCAATAGGATTGAAACTCTGAACTCTTTGCAGAAAAACTCTAAGTCCTTATAATTTGCAGTATGTTATTACACTTGACATTCTCAAAAAGGAGCCAGAACTTTATTAGAATCATGGAATGGTTTGGGTTGGAAAGGACCTTAAGATCACCTAGTTCCAACCCCCCTGCCATGGATAGGGACACCACACACTAAATCATGTCACCCAAGACACCATCCATCTTCGCCTTGAACACTGCCAGGGATGGAGCATTCACAACTTCCTTGGGCAAACCCATTCCAGTGCCTCACCACCCTCACGGTAAAGGGATTACAATTAAAATAAATTCAGTTCATAATATGGTACTTAGAAAATTAGAAAACAGTTTTGTGGAAGAAAAGTTCAGACTTGGGTCTAGAACGGACAAAAATAAGATCACCACTGTATGGAAGCAATCTTCTAGAAAGGATCTTTATCAGCTTATGGTTAAACACAGCAGACTGGTGGAATACATGTAATTCTCTAGAAATAAGAATTGTACCATCTTCAAAACCATGAAGAATGAGACAGATGAGAAATGACTGAATTTTATGTCAATGTATAAAAGTAATTCTCTAAAAAATTAAAAACATGAAAAAGCAAATTTTTCAGCCAAGGGACTGTAAAACAAGTTTATTTCTCCAATATCCTACCTTGTAGGACCTCTGACAAGTTATAACGGAAATCCTTTGCTTTGGCTGCATGCATGGTAAAAATACAGAAACCATTAATTGCATTACTAGACCCAATTAAGTTCCAAACCAGAAGCTTCTCCTAAAATCAGTCCAGATCAAAAGAAGCATGTACCAACAGATTTGTAAAGCTTGTAAAAACAGCAGTTGCAAAAGTGCATGTTGAGTCCTACATCAGGGTCAATAGCTCTACCTACGGACACAGATCTTGAAATTTGAGATATTAATTTTCACCCTTAGATATTATACTAGCAATACTATCTTAACATTGACATATTGTGATACAATAATCATCCTCATAAGTTTAAAACTGAGGTCATTCAACAAGTCACTTATGGAAGGATGACTGATCAGTTGTCCTGACATCACAGGCAACACAATCCATCAGAGAAGTGGCAACACTAGCTGCCCATCTTCAGCTGCTGAGGGTTTAAATTTAAACAATGCATATTTAACTGACATTTCAAATGAACTGCAGTATAGATGTTACAAAGAGATCCAGATCTATCCTCAGAGATTTCTTCAATTCTTTAATAAATGCAGTATGTTAATAACCTTTTTCAGTCTTATGAGAATCCCATTTTAACATCATAATAGAGTTCAACATTAAAATAAACTTTTTGAACTACATTGCCTATTCTTATCACGTAGGTCATTTGCAAACACTCCAGTAGTCGAATCAGCTATTTAAAATGCCCTCCATTTAATGCATATCATAATCATATTAGAAGCATCTAATATTTAAAATTCTTACCTAGAACTTCTTCATAATCTACAAGTTCAAACCAGACAACTGCTACTGATGTCCAAACTCCCAGCAAAGCAATTACCATAAACCAGGTGAAAAATGAGCTTCCAGAGAGGCCTTCTTTCTTTCCATTTTTACCTCCTCCATGTTTAGCCTCTGTAAAAATAAGGCAAACAAATACGAAAAAATGGATTTGCATAAGTTAGAAAATTATGACTGATGATACAATTATAAATATTGTTTCTTATGACTGCACAGAACACTACATTTGAGAAACATTTTTGTGTTGTTTGTTTTTAAACTTCACCAGTTGCTTGCTTTTCACATCACTGTGAATTACACTAGGAAGCTTGATGATTGTCTAAGTAAAAGCCCTATAATCAACCGAACACCAAAACGCCAGATGCAATTTGTCTTAACAACTTAGTTGAAAATCCCCACTTGCTCCCCTTTAGTGTATATTTATATAGAGCTTAACATTTTTCAGATGCTTTGCATTTATGTCAACGGTTCTCAAACTGCCACCAGAGGGCAATACGACCAGCAGAAACAGTTTGGAAGAAAAGCATTTCTTCTGAAGCAAGTTTCAAAGCTAGTTGAATTAGCTCACAGAAACAACATGAAAATTCAAACAGCCTAAGAAGGCTCTAAAATCTGAAGCATGTTAAGGTTAAGACTCCATGTTCAGATACTGTACCAGCTTAATATATCTCCCCTGCTGCAAGAATCAAGCAGAGATTCGCTACATGCCTTTAGACTCCCAGTCCGATGGAAACATACAAGTAAAAGGATGACACAGAGACTTAATGCAAATCACAGCTTCATTTATAACTGCACATATAGAAAGTAAGTGTATATAAAAAATACAGTAGTTACAAACAAACCACTGGGAAAGACCTCAACCTAGCATACGGGTAGGTGGGTTAAAATGGACATCATGACTAGAAAACAAATAAATTGCTTGGTCCATTCCTTTAGGATCATTTATGGGAAAGAGGGATACATGCAGCAAATAAACATGCATGCAAGAAAATGCCTGTGGCTTTCTCCAAAGCTCAAGGTCTGCTCTTCTGCCTCCAGATACTACTGCTGCAAGGCTGGCACTTGGCCACAGTTTCATGGCTACCAGTCTATTCCACTTCATTTCCTCCTAAGCACCAGTCTTTGCTTGTTCAGCCCTATCCAGTCCTAGTTATTGAAGTAAAAATATTTCTTACGGATTTTTAAATACTCGAGGAACTTTGTCATGAATATTGTGATAATATAATATGGTAGGGAGTTAAATTTATCATATTTACTTCAAGTAATGTTTGATGCCTTTATCAACACTGATCATAGAAAAAGATGAAAAATACCCCGAAATATCAGCATTGCTCTGAAAGATGACTAATGAGACACTGGAGACTGACTTACTTATTTCTGTAACAGATATTATCACAAGTTCTTTCAGACCTTACTTGCCATCAGGTTCACAGCTGTAATAAATTAACCTTTTATTACATTCACTGTGCTACATACAGAGTTCAGACCAATAAAAAAGTCTCACATCAGCTCTTACTCAGCTCAGCATTTTATTTAAAAAACAATTATTTTATTGAGTACTCTGTACAAAGATCAAATACCAACTATTTAGCGTTTTCTCCATATTCAACACAAAATTGCCTTGGTATAGGCTGTCCAGTAATACTCAGAGAGAAAGCAAGACAATTTAGCCTCACATCAAGTATGTATCACTTGCTACTGCACGGAACCCTGATTACAAGTGTGCAAGGCTCACATACATAACCCATCATAACATCTCTCTTGTGGGAAAGATGTACATGTAGCCTGAAAACAGAGGCAAAGATAAGCAGCATGTGCCAGTACACTCTGAAATAGGATCATCTGTACATGAAAGCTCTTTAAAGTCCTCGAGCTGGAAATGTTAATTATACTTTGTAACAGCAGAACTTTGCAACTCTTGTGTTGCAATGCAGTCCATGGAAGCTTTGCATGTATTTAAAACAAAACCTTAAGGCTGAAAACATTTTAAAATATTCCAGGTTACAGTTTTGTCCTATGCAAGCTAGGTATTAGAAGCAGCAAACAGGAAAGAGAATCTTACTGTGTTTCCCTTAGTCATTTACCTTACTATTTTCTACAGTTTACTGCTAGTTGCCTCTGAAGAAAAGGCCTTTATTTATTAGAGGAAAAAAAAACAGAAAAATGAAAGAAGATACAACTTAAGTAATCAAGCATAGTTTTTCATATTTTTTCCAGTCTACAAGACTGTTCATGGAAACTCCTCAAAACCAGATTCTGATACAAAAATATAATTCACAACAGTCACAAAGATACACTTTTATGCTGTGGCTTCCTATCTTATAGGAACATTAGTTTCAAAAGTCTTGAAAAATTCTCCAAATTCAACCACGGCAGCTTGATCAGGCTATGCTTTAATATAAATGGAAGTTATGTAACATAACATTTACCCATTGTCTGCACAAATAACCCTACACCAGGGTTAGAACAAAACATTGCAAAGACTGAAGCTGGCTCAGCGCTCATTCCAGACAGTTAATTCTCAATTCAAGCCCTTTCCCTGTACACGCTGCCAGCCATGTCAGAAGTAGGTCACTTGCCATATCTGGTAAGCCTGTGCTTACATGACCAGATGTCTTCATGCAGACATCAGAAGTCTCAACGGAAAATCTCTAAAAGTCCTACAACCTGCCTACCCTGCATTAAGAGTCACACCTAGATAAAAATGTATGAAATTAATTCCTTTTACTTTAGCTTACATTAAAAGAACACCTAGTAATTTCACATACTCCGAAAATAACTTTCAAGACAGGTATTTGATGACAAAACAACATCTCTTAGGTTAATGTGTACCCTACTCAAGTGAAAACTAAAGTTACTATTAACCACCTGCCATAAACTAATTAAATCCCACTACTCCAGAGAACATTCAATCAAAGAGAACAGAGGCAGCCTGTAACACAGACTAAAACAGTAAACAGGGTAGGGAACATACAACAGTAAGCCAATTTTCTGCTGATTATAAAATCAGACATAGCCAGTATTTGCAACTACACATTTTCCATTTGTTCACAAAAAGGTTAGGATTATACCTGCGTCGTCAGCCATAACATTAGTTCTTGATTTCCACGGACAGAGCAAGTATGTCGATATCTCCAAAAATTAATGATGAAGGCAAAATAAGAAAAGATTTGTCCTCACTAGTCTTGCAACAGGAGCAAACAAGTTTCCTAAAGCCAGCTCAGCGGGAACTTGAAACTGGACCCAAGAGAAACCTTTCCTCCAAATCTATTTTTAGAGCAGTTATCCTCAGGAGCCAAATGCTTTTCAGAACTCATATGGCAATGTAGTTCTGCCGACAGTCAAATTCATTTACTCCTCCAAACAGAGCATCCTGGGTAGTTGATCCTTTCCCCTCCCCTTAATCCTCCAACATCAAACACAGCAGCGAATGAAACTGAACACACTGTACTGTAGAATTTTTCCTGCAACATATGCCACAGTGCCTGAGCTCTAAGGGCATTAAATCCACCAGCAGAAGCCGAAACACAAGTCTGGACACAAAGCTTGACTGCTTGCATTTGTTAAGTTGGCCTTCACCCAAGAAACTTTCTCCATGTTGGCACTGCTCTACCAAGCTTCCCGAGTATCCCGTAGAGACTGCTCATTTGAAATTTGCTAACTACTTCAAGAACAAAAGACAACTAATTTCTAAAACGTAGTTTTGAATCTTTAAAAGAATTACTTAAAACCAACCACACACATTCTTGTCAAAGATTTTTCAGATCAGAACTGTCCCCCTGGTATACTTCGTGTTTGCTTGTAGCAGACCCAAAGGAGGGTTACTGATCATTTTTGCCAAAGCAAATCCCATAATGCAAAACCAGGAAAATTTTCTGTTGCTTGTTAAGGGTAGCAGAGGTGTTGAATTTGCTTTGCTGCCCTCCGTTTCCAGAAAGGACTAACACTAACTCATCTCACTCACTCCTCCTTTTAATTCTGGCAACATGCACCTAACCTGTACAGTTTAAAGCTAACACAGATTATTAATGATCAACATACTCTCTTCTTAAGAGCGAGAAAAGAAGGAAAAAATTCCACTATTTAATACATTATTTAATTTTAACAAAATATTCTTTTCCCACTGCATTTCAAACAAAAGCCAGCTCCTTTCTGAGGGGAAGAAGACAGAAACAAACTCATGTGTCATTAACAGCAACCCTAATAAAAACTTTAGGACCTAGCATTATGCCCTTTTTCCCCTCAAGCTTCTTTAAATAACATAACCTTCAGGTAGATGGAGTGAACAGCAGAATCTTACAGCCACTTTGAAAAACAACATATACCGCCTGTGGTTTCAACACCCAGCAACTAATTACCTAATGCAATTCCCAATAGCTCAAGGGAGAAAGAGTGAGAAATAAAACCTGAGGTTTAAGGGTTTAAAATGGATGTAAAGGAACCACAGACAATTGATTCTATAAGTAGTGTATATTTTAACTATCTTTAAAGCCGCTTGAATACGTCAAACAGAACAGATGCTTTAAGAAAGACCTCCTAACTAGCACATTTCAGCAACTTAAGTGATGTGCAAGCAATTTAAAGCAAGATAGGAAGAAAATTTAAAAAAAGGGTGAAAGTCACCTAATATAGGAAAAAATCAGCAGCTCATTAAGTAAGTAATTTTACATGCAACGATATGTAGTCTATTGCAAATAAAACCTACAGCATTTTCACAGGCAAGGTTTCATTACGCAATTTGTTGCAACTTCACTTCTGGGGCACCTGCATTCACAGGTACGAGCTCTGCAGAACAAGTGGATTCATAGCGCGTTCAATGATGTTGAGAACCTGAAGTCCACATTACACATTCTGGGAGGATTGCTCCAAACTAGATCTTACCTAGCTGAATGCCTGTAAGTGGTTGCAGCGTATCTTTCTGTTTCACTTCACTCAAAACTAAATAAGTATATTCAGGGACAAAAGCACAACACATAAAAGTAAAATGAGTGGAGACAGTAAAGAAATTAATTTGAAATGTACACTCTCAGTCTAAACTAACACACATATATTGACCTTTAACCAAATACCCACAGCCTACTCGTGCCATTTAAAAATCAACTGATTACAAGAATATGTCCTCCCAAGAAATGGCAAACACCTTTCTTCCTGAAAGGGGAGACCACAGCTAAAATAGGGAAACTCTTCAGCCTTATCAAATGTAAGATGGACCCATGGGACACAAAACTGACTATACACCTAATGAACAACATACATTAATGCACATCTTGAAAAATACAGCTTACGCATATATTCCTCTGAATGCTAGAGTACTAAATACCAAGCAGTAGAATTTTGGTTAGTTTTGTGAAAGACTAAGGTTAAACTGAATACATATATACTTAATATACAATTCAAGATTGGGATATGTAAGTCAACAACATGGACTTCTTGCAAGGTCTCATTCTACTTTGTTCAAATGCTGTGGCTACTTGTTTGTCAGTTTGTTTTTGAAGCATCTCAAATTGCTTCATTAACACTCAAAATTATTATTCTTCAGCTCATTTGTATAACTTTCAAATTTAAAAACTATTTTCAAGTTAGCTTTGGTAAAAGTATTCACTCCATCGTATTTCAGAAAAGCAAAACTGACAACCAAGACTAGCAGTACTAATTCCAGGTGTAGACCATTTCCAACATGCAAGAAAAGCAGCTTAGAGGGGAAAAAAAATGTCAATGCTGTATACAAAACCAAAGGCAGGCTTCAAAACATCGAGCTGAACTTTCATAATGTGTATAATTATTTCCTACAAAGGTACATTAGGAATTAATACAGAAGCCATTATGGATCGTCACATGAAGAAAAGGGTGCGTAACAGCAGGCAGTTACTAGAAATTAGAAAAACACACTAAAAGGAAAAAAAATAACAAAAACAACAAAACACTAATCTCAGAGAAATATCTAAAGTTGCATTTCAGAAGTAAAAATTATCAACCTCCTAGATTGTTGGGAGACTTCAGAACAAGATTGTTTTAAAATCAAAATGCAAAGCGATAAAACAGAATCGGCAGAGAAGTAAAAACCTAAAATAAGTTACAGTAGCACCATCCTAACACCAACAGAGCTGAACTAGTACCAATGCAAAGATAGAAAACAGCCTCTTGGCTGTTTTGGCTCATGTATGAGCCTGGCCTACTACTGCTTGACATTTTCACCAAATTATTTTTTCCAATATGATTAACAATAAAACAACTGTTGCAAGTCATTCTCAGTAATAAAATTGCAGTTAGTTAGGTTTTTTGGGTAGCATCAGTAGCAAGTATTTTGAGTAAAATATCTATTATTCTCTGTTGATACTAATTTCCCCCTTTATATTAAAAAAGCTTCTTTCCCCCCCCCCACTACTGTCATATATGTGTATGCACATATATCCACACGAGTTTATGATATATTTTAAAATCTAGATTCAACGCACATGTATGTTGAACTGCTCTATTCTGAGAAGTCTACACACCATAATGATTTATCCTGAGGTAAAACCGATTTTCATATTTCATTTTCATTCAGTGTACCAAGGGTGGAATGATACAATTTAATGGACAGATCTGCACTTATGATGAGCTTCTACAAACTTTTTCATTTTTAAGGGAGACAGAATTACCGTTTTCTCTCTGTTGTCTTTACAGGCAAGACATTAACTTTTACTGAAACACATAATAGTTTCACATACAAAATATTCCAGCCTTAAATTTTCAAGTATCCATACTCAAATTTTGGGGTACTTTTGTCCAAATAATCGTGACAAAAGGGTCTTTAAAAATCTGAAGTTTAATGTAAAGGCTTATTTTTAATAAATCAATATAAATTCTTTGTGATACAATTTTGATTCTTCCTTTTGCTGTCTAAAAATATCTTCTGCAGCACTGCAACCTTAATGGAAATTAGAGGGGGAAAAAACCAAACAAAAACCCAAAACCACACAACAAACCTAGCTTTTTTATTATTATTATTCTCATTAAAAACTAGATGTCTGCTCTGCACTTTATATAATCTAGTCTACATGGTTACAAAGATACCTGTGCACATTATCAAAGGATTTTAATACAGTAATCAGAAACTTAAGGAACAGGGAAACAGATGGAACAGAAAAAGCTGTAAGATCAACGAAAACACAGACCAGAATTTAAAGTCAGAACAATAAATTAGCCAAATGAAAAGCAATTTTGTCTCTCCTGCTGCCACTTCACAGATTTATACTTGAGTATTTGAGGAACTTTTCCTTATTCCACATATAATCAATCTTCACATAAGCCTTTAAGGTCCTTAATTTTCAGTCCTTATATGATTTCTCACAGCAACGTATCCTACTATGCAAACAATCAAAGAATATAAATACTGAAACCAAGAGCAAAATCATAAACTCAGGATTTGTGGAGATGCTGAGGGTGGCCAACTGAAGGAGAAAAAGGAGAAAAAAAAAAAAAAAGAAAAAAGAAAGATAATGCATCAAAAAAAAAAATGTAAAGGAAATGTAGAATCGTAAGTGCTTTGCTGAGCTTCCCCAGTGAAAGGAAGCTCCTCCCTGCAGTAGCTGAAGTGATTCCACTGAAGGACCTCCTTGAATTCAGCACTTAATCAGGATGTGAAAAATCAGAGATTCAGTTTTCTCCTATGAGGAACAGTGTTTAAATTTCCTCAGTGGTCTAAACCACATTTTTAAGCATGTCCAAGGGTATAAGAAGAAAGCCATTTTAGTCCGTCATGATGAAGCTATTTATTCATGCATAGTCATACCTTAAGTGGTCACAACAGCAATTTCTAAGACAGGAGCTCTGTGGAACAGAGACTAAAGCACATTTCTTCCCCTCCTTTCTAGGTAAGAAAGAGGACTCCAGACATAACTGGCCTATCCTCATGCTCACTCTCAGCAGGCTGAATCTTTGTTTCACATTGGATTGGAACAGTTTCAACAAGAATTTAAAGTAGACACTCTCACTTCTGCTCAAGTATACCACAAAACCAGCAGCTGCAACACTGGAAGTAAACCAAACCTTTTATTCTTCAAGAAGAAAATGGAGTTAAAACTTTTTCTACTCTATCCTGAGTA